TACATTGCCAACTATTGTTGCTAATCGTCTGCTTACCTCTCTCATTTGGCGATCTTTCTACTTTTTTCTTTATGTTTTTTAAAGTATCTCATTATGGTATATCTTAAAGTATCTCATGGATAGTATCTCTGCATTTTTTAAAGTGCCTCATATTGTGTTCTCTGTATCTTTCAGTAAGCAAATCTAACTCGGTGGATTTATACAGACCGCCAGCCTTGAGGAACAACAATAGCAATAACAACAATAGCAGCAGCGAGGAAGCAGCTGCAGCGAACGAATCAACAACAGCAATTAACACAACAATTATAGCTGCAGGAACAGCCAACACTGCAACTACAAATCCTGCCTCTAAAGGATCCCCGAACAGGTAGGAACAATTTAGTAGGACTACAATTAGTCCAACAATCCATTAGCATATTGTTTTGTTTCCTTAAGGTTTTAAATAAACCTAGAATTATTTTACAATTTAAAAAAGATTTACTTTGGGCAAATAAATACTTTTAATTGCTGTAACAATATTTTATTCGGTTTAAATTTGTTTTTGTGAAACTAGAGTTCTATACTGATTAATAGGCCAATAATTTGTATGATATTTTTATGATGTCCCCTGAAAATCAAATAATAACTAGAAAACTAAATATAGTTTGGTCAAGAAAGTCTTTTATTTGCTATATTACTACTTTAACCGGTTTTAAAGACATTTCTTCCTTAGTTTTTCCTTTTAGTTGGTTATTACTGAAAACAAAATTCTTTATAAACGGCACAGATTAATATGCCTATACTCACTAAAAGTAATTTAAATTTGTTCCGAAGTTTTTAAAAAGTCAAATATTTCTGTAAATCAAAGCAATCTTTTTCTTAAATTTCTTAAATAGCATTTTCTATTTGAGGTTCGACTGTATCTGTATCTCAGAAACTGACGAAATTCTGTCGTGAGCTAATCGTTTTACACTGTTTCTTTTCTTCCACTTCTTGTTACCTGTGTTTTGCTCCGCTGTTTCGCAGAGAGCAACAGGCGGACGCCTCAGCAGCGGCGACCCGTCGCGAACGCCGTCCCGATCGAGCAGTTTATGTGCCAAGGGCACGTCGCAGTCAAACCACACCACCGACCACAACAACAACAGCAACGACAGCGGTTGCAACAACAGCAGCAGCAGCAACCACAGCAACAATTACAGCAGTGGAACCACCGCCAGTTGCAGATACAAACTCGAGCAAAGCGGACGACGCCAACGGTCAGCAGCTGTCCAAGTCGAAGAAATCGAAATCGCATCGCGAGCGCAGAGAACGCGGCAAGAAATCCACGGCTATATCTGCATCCACAACAGCCGATAACGCCACTCTACTCGTTATATCAGGAACTGAAAACGATACTCAATCAAACCAAGAGAACCGACCGGCCAAGCCAGCGGACTGTGATAAGGAGGTGGGTGCTGAAAATGGTTCAGAAAAGCAATAAAAACTGTGCCAAATTTTAGGATTTGTTGCTTAAGAATGTTTAAAATATGTATATCTCAGAACGCTTCACAAAATTGGATATCAGTTTAGTTTTTGATATATATAGCTGAACAAAAAATTTATAAAACTAACATTTTATAAATTGTTGACAATAGATTCAATTTTCTATATCAGTGAACAATTTGCTTGATAAATATAACATAAAACAACTATAAAATGTGCTGAGCTACAAAAATATCACCATTCTTTATATGCAGCAAAAAATCCAATTTTAAATGAAACATTTCACTTTTTGTTTCAACCCAATTTAAACCCTGACCTTGCCATTCTAATCCATAGTTCAATTACTCACAGACCATGAGTGGGGCCCAGCGTACAAAGCCAGGCAATGGTAACAAATCCACCAGCAATGGCAAATCTCAGCCATCGCCGCCATTGCGCATCGAGGATGTGGCGGCGGCCAGGACAACCAATGGCGAGGAGGCGGCCAAATGTGATAACGATGTGCGCGAACTGCAGCGAGCCTCAAAGGTGAGTAGTGATAAACGCATTTAAAAATTAATATCAATAGAAACAATTACGTTTTCCCTCTCATTAAAGGAAATCAATCGCAGCAATCGTCGCATCATGAAACAAACCTTCGTCTCGGATGTGCTGGAGATTCCTGAAAAGATCGATTCGGCGGCACCCAAGGCAAAGCAATCTCCTCAAGCCTCAGCCACAGCGAAACCACCTGCAGACAGCACCACAGAGGACGATGACGAGGAGGACGAGGATGACTGGGAGAACATGTTCGACGAAAGCGGCGACTGCCTGGATCCCAAGATACTCCAAGAACTGAGCGAATCTGTGGGCAAGTGCAAAATAGAGCTGCCCAAAATGGACTATACAGTAAGTAGAGAAAGTATTTCTCTTGTTTTTTAAATACTTAAATAGATTGTCATTATATTTAAATTTTTGATAGGGACATTTTAAATGAAAGTTTATATTTAAGCCTGTCGAAAATAAATATGGAAGTTAAAAGAAATAATTTTAAAATATATTATTTTATTAGAAATTTGTTCAGTATATATAATTGGTGACAATATCACAATGATACTTTTCAGTATATCTTTTGATATCGACTTCTCAAATGCAATTTCCTAAAAAGACTTTTGAAAAGTTTTAACTTTTTTCTGTGTACATCTCAAATAAAATTTCATATTTAAGATTTTAGCTTTTTCAGCGGTAATTTTTAAAAGAAATATCTAGTTCAGAAATGTTCTTAATATAAAATTGTGTTATTTTGGTTTGTTATTAAACTTTTGATATGGACCTCACGAATAATATATCAACAAGGTCAATTTTTGATATTTAAATGTAATAATAAAATTCTATTTTTCAGGTCTTTCACATCAAGCAACAACTGCTCAACGAAGAGGAATTTCCTCACGTCCTGGAGGTGTCCAATTTCCCGGTGGAGTTCAAAACACCCGACCTGCTCATGCTTTTCGCCCAGTACAAGGGCAGTGGCTTCGACATCAAGTGGGTGGATGATACCCATGCCCTGGCTGTGTTCAGCAGTTCCCGTATTGGTGAGTCTGCTTGTATGCCAATCGGAGATGGTTTCCGATGCCAATGGAGATTTCATTTTACACAGCTGCCGAGGTGCTGACGATGGGGCATCCGTTTGTCAAGTTGAAGCCACTGGCGGAGGCCACGCTGGAGTCACGACTGAAGGCGAAGAAGGCCGGAGCCGTGTCGTTGCAGCCATATCGCCAGCGTCCGGAAACGTGCACGGCCTTGGCCCGACGACTGGTTTCCGGTGCTCTGGGGGTCAAACTGCCCACGGCGCCGCAGGAGCGGGAGAACGAGAGGCGGGTACTACGCGAAGCCAAAGGTGAGTTTGCAAACTGGGTTAAATGTTTGCTCTATTTTTATAGCCTTCAAGTGGCAACTGTTGCTCATTAGGGTGGTCCAAATTTGTATACAAGTTTTCGGGACCTACTTTTATAATTTAAAGTCGATACGAGCATTGAAAGCAAGAAATGTAAAATACCTAGTTCACTAAAATTCTCGAAAAAGCCTGTTCTTTGCATTTTAACTGGGGAGAATACATTTTTCTTATTCTTGGACCACCCCTAATGCTCATGTTTTCATGTTTTTTTTCTACCAATCACTTTCGTTACTAATTCTTTCTACAATTTCCTTTACAGAACGCAAACTGTTAGCTGCCAAACAGCGGGACGAAGTCTGGGAAAGCTAAACCGCGGCCCGGAAGAAGGCAAGGTGCATTTTTCTCCAACCCATCTATCAAAAGCTGCGACAGTGGTTAGTTGCAACATATAAAGATCAACACTATCACTACCAACAACCATTATCCACAACAAAAAAACTCTCATTCAAAGCTAGCAAAATAAATCGAGTAATTTGCATGCTAAGCAATGGTACTTTAAATGTTCGCTTTTTGTGCAATTAACACAGATTTTTGCTCAATTTGTTGTAGTTTTTAGAGGATGCATAATAATGATGTAATGCATATTATATCATCTAGGCCGTAAGAGAGAAATATCTATATTTATTGGTCTTAGCAAGTAAACATGCATAGATACGTGTTGTTTTAACTCCAGGCGTAAACCTTAATTTTTAAGCGCGAGCAATTTATATATTGATATATATATTTTAATAAAGTTTATAGCATAAGTAAAACTACAAATTTGTTCTGGATTTTTAATGGGAAAAATGATGTGGGGCTGGATATCGGATCGTATTATCGGTAGAATTTAGTAAGTTATTTGTAGGGATGTGTATTCCCCAAAAAGAAAACAATCATCATTTAAAAAACCAGGTTTAAAAAAAGTGTGAGCATATAAAATTCTGTTAAATTTTAATCCTAAAACTCGTTTTACATTTTTTAAGACTAAATTCCAAGTTACAAAAATTAATGTGAATGTTTTAAAATATATGAATATGTTGGCAATGATGGTTTGATTTATTTAAGAGTAAAATTTGAATTACAAAAATAAATTTGAATATTTTAAAATATATGCATATGTTGGCAGCAATGGCAATCGCAGTATGACCAAATAATGATGATGGTATTTTAGAGTTCGACGGTCACACTAATGCCGGCAGAACAATTTGTTATTAAAAGAAAAAGAGTTAATTATAGCGCTTAAAAGGTAACAGCTGTGCTATTGTGTCTCTTCAACTTAAAATCAATATAAAACAGGGTGATAGTTAATCTTAAGTGTACATTTATATTAAAGTGCATTGGAGTACTGGATGTTCCATTGACATTTATTTATTGAAGTATGTAGTTAAACGCTGACAAAATAAAATATATAGCCAGTGAATGAAATTGATAAGCTTATCTTTTCGGAAGCGCAGCAACAATAAACTATCAAAATCAATTGAAGTTTTGCCCATTGAAATAGAAATTTTTTTTGACTGCGTGGCTACAAGTTGTGGGCGTGTTTGTTGGGTATGTGTGTACAGTGAATACCAGATATAAAGGACTGAATAGGCTATTCGCCATATATCAAAAACTTTCTCTGCTTTGAAACATAGTTTGATTTTTCTTACTATCAAAAATATTAGCAACTTGTATCAGTGTCATATAGCCTTTGAATTTGAATGTTTAATAAATAGGTCGATTTGTCTGAAATTTACGTACTATAAAGGTAATAAAATAATAAACAACTTCGATAATAATAAAAAGGAATGGGTACTCCTTAATATAGGATTATTTAACAAAGCTGTGGTTCAATAAAAGCTTGTTAATATAAAATCAAAGGGGCGGTAATAATCGTAAAAGTTGCATTCGCAAATATGGTATAACCCGATTCTAATTGGAATATGGATACGTGGATCTCGTTTCAGCCCAGTCATGTACAAGTACTTATCGGTCCTATTGCTAGCTGCAGTAGTTGTTGGAGCTGCTAAACCAGAAGATAGTGAATCGTGTTACTCCTTCGGCGGCGGAAATGTATATCCCGATCAGCCGAAGGGCGATCATCAGTTACAATACACCAAGGCAGTCAGTGAGTATATTCTACTTCAAAATATACAACCCAGGATAATGACTTACCATATATTGTCTTGATTTTTTCAGTTTCCAAGCCAGCTCCTCAGTTTGAGGGAACCGCTGTGGTCAATAAGGAAATTGTGAAGCTATCGCTTTCCCAGTATCTGGGAAAATATGTGGTGCTGCTCTTCTATCCACTTGATTTGTAAGTATGACTTCTTCGACAACTAGTGTTATTGCCATTTAAAGGAAATTAAATAATAGATTGAGGTACAAACATTACTCAAATTGTTATGAGATTCTTTAAATTTAAGTATCATACCTACAAGAAAAAACGACTTCAAATTAATTTATTAAAAGATTTTTCCTATCCATGTTTAATTGTATTATGTAAGAAAACTTTTTTAAAATTTCTTTTTAATAACTGAAATGTAATTTGGCTTACCTGATTTTTATTCCAGCACCTTTGTCTGCCCAACGGAGATCATAGCCTTCTCCGATCGCATCGCCGAGTTCAAGAAAATCAAGACGGAGGTGATCGGCGTCAGCGTGGACTCCCACTTCACCCATTTGGCCTGGATCAACACGCCGCGCAAGGAGGGCGGTCTGGGCAACGTTAAGATCCCCCTGCTCTCCGATCTGACGCACAAGATCAGCAAGGACTACGGTGTCTATCTGGAGTCCAGCGGCCATGCCCTGCGCGGACTCTTCATCATCGATCAAGCCGGAGTGTTGCGACAGATCACCATGAACGATCTGCCCGTGGGACGATCCGTGGATGAGACCATTCGCCTGGTGCAGGCCTTCCAGTACACGGACACGCATGGAGAGGTGTGCCCAGCGGGTTGGCGGCCAGGTGCCGATACGGTAAGTATAGATAATAAGGTGTTTTAATGGATAACTGGGCTTAAGAGTTTTTTTTTTAATTTAAAAAGAAACATGGGTCTCATTTATTTAAAAAAATGGGTAATTTATAAAAGATAGTAACCTCATAAACAAGAACCTTAAACAAGATGTATCAGTTTAAAAAAGTGGAAGCCCTAAAAAACTCGAAAACCCATTAGTTTATTAAAAAATAATCGTGATATAAAGCAATACCTCTCATACGATTTAAAGAAACCTAAATTTTCGTCAAAACCTTGTTTGGTTTGAAGGTATAGTATCATAGCTTACGAATGTTTTTCAATTTCTTAAATGCACTTGTTGGTTCAAAAGATTATTGTATTGCATTAAATTATAATATCAAAAATCTTAGTTTTCAATTTATACTTTATAAATTATATTCGTAACGGTCCCTGCTTTAAACAATATTGGGTTAGAAAAGCCTTAAAAAAACACTTTATTTTCCCTTGCTAGATCGTTCCCAATCCGGAGGAGAAAACCAAGTACTTTGCCAAGAATAACTAAGGATAGATGCACCACATCCCTGTTGATCAACCAAGCCCAGTTGCATTCCAGATGTTCACGACTGAATCACGACTGAATCCTCTGTACAAAAGTCCGTAATGCCACCGATTGCAAATGGTTCGCATTTGTTTTGTATAAAATATAGTTTGTTTATTTTACAGCATAACTGAGAGATAAATAAATTGATGAAGTACATGTTTAAGTGATGCAAATTGTGTGGGTCACAATATAATGGATAACAATATTCGATTGCGGTTAGTTTCATACAAAAATATATGTATTATGTAGTAGGTAATTGGTAATAGATAATAGTAAATTAGTTAGGTACGCCATGGTTGCAGTTAAGTAATCCTGTGTGCTCCGACCTTTTGGTACAACAAAGCTAAGTATGTCGAGGTATATAAATCGGGGAAAAACGGGGCGGGGCGACGACAATAACAACTAGGACGTCATAAGGCACTCGTTCTCGTCTGGTTTTTCTTTCTTCGTGTGTAGTCTGTTTTCCATAGTGTGTGTTTGCTTTTTGTCAGTGTCTTTGTGCTACATTGTTGTGCGTTTTTTTTTTTTTTTAATGCCAAAACCAAGGTTCTTTAAAAATCGAAGGTGCAACAACTGCAGTTCAGTTCAAAATTGTGCGGGGAGATTCCTTTGCTGTGTGGAGATTCCAAATCGATCACAAAGCGTTGCACTGTTCAGATTCCCGGAAACGTTAATTAAATAAAATATTAAAAAATTCTTAAAGCTATGACGGTGAAACACGTCGAACCAAAAAGCAGTCGGCGATAATAACGTCTGTTCATTTATAAATCGATTCACTGAAAGCTTACTGCTCGTAGTAAACCACGTCCTGAAAAAGAGAAAATAATGAATACTTATAGGAAAAAGGGGGAAAAAATATATATATCTTCCATGTTTTTTTTTTATAATTTCCCTCATATGTTTAAGAAAAATATATTTACACCTCATATATAAAGATGTTTATTTAAAATGATAAAATACGAAAATACTTATATACTCACAATCAAAAAGAGCGCTGCGAATATGAGTGCCTTCATGCGAACATCCAGATTCAGGGGGAAGGTGACGCTGAAGTAATCCGCATCGGTGAACAGCTCCCTGCCCAATCCAGACCATTGTTTGCTTATTTTTCCGATCTCCTCATTATTGGCGCTCAATACCTGCAAGCGAGAGATGTTTGTGTTTAACATTAATCGGGGACGGAATTCGATTCGCACACACACAGCATTTCGCAGTATCGGAATTAATTGACTCGCTCTGGACAGTCAAGCATAGCGACCTCCATGACGTCACTGTCTCGGACTGCAGTATCTGTTGCTTGATATGTACCACACAGCGGTGGTCAGTTAAATATGGCGTTTTACAGACTCAAACAAACAGTAATCTCCTTAAGATCTTTCAAACATATAAAACACGAATGAAAGCCTTATAGATGATGTAACTTTTAAATAAAACCATTGTACAAAAAAGATTATTTTTTAAAACTCTTATACGTATAAAATCCAACAAAGCTTTTAGATTTTCTTTGATCCTATGTAACTTTTATATAAAATTTGTTTTTTTTTGTATAAAATCTTATATTGTTCAACCACACAAAAAACAAAGATTTGAGATGAAGAATTGGAATTGAGTCTCTAGAAATTTAAAGAAATTAAAGTTAAAGTAAAATCTTTAGTGTACGTATGTTATACATAAGCCCTAAATCCTAATTTAACAATTAATTTTTTGGATACTATTAACTTCACCGCATTTGTTTGTATGGGGTGTTAGCCACAACAACTGATGAATTAATTGAAAAAACAATTCAAAAATATTTCAATATTAAAAAAGCTAACTGCAATTAAATGAGGAGTAATGGTCATTGAAAACAGCTGATGGGTTTATCTGATAAAGACAACTATGCTGTTTCCTCCCATTGCTACTCTGCTGACCGCTGCTGTGTGAGTATACTTGTTTGAATGGGGAATTAACCACAAACACTGGAGAATAACCAATTATAAAGTATTATGAATATAAAAATAGCTAACAGTAATTAAGAACAGCTGTTGTATTTATCTGATTAAAGCCTTCTATGCTGTCCCTCTCCCATTGCTAGTCTGCTGACCGCTGCTGTGTGTGTAGATACTTGTTTGAATACGCGAATCTCGATCGAGGCACACACGAATAACCACTTGTTGGCTGTTGGCCGCGCCACTGACCTTGAAGTTGGTGTCGCTGAAGCACTTGCAGGGGCAGAGGGGTCCCTCGATCTGCAGGACGGTGTCGCCACAGTTGTTCTTGATGTTGAACTTGGGGCGCAGGAAGGTGCAGACCTGCTCCACGCTTCCGATCACCTGGCCGGGCGGAGCCGACACCTCCACGGCGTTCATGCAGCTGGGGATGCAGCAGAGGATGTCGCACTTAAATGGCCGGTACAGATGGAGCACCTCGTTCTGAAAGTTATCCAGGATCTTCATCTCAAAGGGACGCGATCGGCCGAGCATATTCCGGGTGCAGCAGTCGCTCTCCTCGTACGCAAAGTACACATTCTGGCCCAGCGAGTTCTTCACCTTGAAGCGATTCTTCGTCTCGAAGCCGGTGAGCAGCTCCAGTTTCTCGATCTTCTGCGACACGAGCAGCTGGTCCAGGGCGGTCAAGTATTCGAGGCCCTGCGGGCAGTTGGGCATGCCCACCGGTATCGACATCCAGTTCTCTGCAACGGGGCGTAGTTTTCGATAAGCTATATATGTATATATACTGCGTACTATATGTATGTGCAAGGGAAATTTGCATAGGTACAGTACCGGTCAAGTCAATGCATCGAAAATGTTTGTCACTCTACCCCTTTGTTCACTAAATTTTGAAATTAAAAAAAAACATGGCTCTTATTTAAAAATATTTAAAATATCAAAAAAATATTTATTCATGGTGGTGTTATTTAAAATAGTATTGTCTTTACTGTAAAGAGTTTTTTTTGTGGCAATCCTATGTATTAGAAGTAAAAAACCAAAAGAAGAGGATCCCTACTCAATGGTATATTTACGTATAATATTAACCTGTAATAAAAACTCCCTATATTTGAACTTGAGTGCTAGTCCTGAACCCTGCTGTAGGCAATGCCAAGAAAAGGCAAAGTGTTAAAAATAAAGAAATAAAATCTAGGAAATCCCCACTTAATGGAATATTGATTATATATAAGCCTTTTATAAAAACTTCTAGAATAAGATCTTGAGTGCTATAGCCTTGACCGTTGCTGTAGGGAAAGCCAAGAAAAGGCAAAGGCAATTCCGCCTTCTTGCACACGCCCACACCAAACACACAGACGCGCGCATCCCACTAAAACCATCTGTGTGATGGAATGCTTCCGCGGGATTAATCCATATATTTATACGCACCAGCTCCATTTGCGTTCATTCCGGGCACCACCGCCTGCGGCTGGCGAACCACCGTGTCGTCCTGCGGCGCATTCTGCGGCACCACCTTGTACTCGCTCATCTGCATCATCTTTTTGTTAACAATTTTATTCTGGATTCGATTCTGGAGCAATTCACAAAACACTGGTAATAGTGTGACCGTGTGACGAATGCCAAAAAATCACTATGCTGTTGCACAAATACACTTTAAGAAAAATACTTTATTATACCACATTTAAGTATTTTTTCCAATATCAGATTTTTAAAAGAATATAACTGGAATACAATACATAACTGTCCCTAAAAGCTTTATTTATTTGATTTTCATGAATTAGTATAAAATAGTATTAAAATATTTTAAGTTATTAAGGGGTTTTAATAAATCAAGTTATGCAATTGTTGTTTTAAGCAACTGAGAGTATATGTGCCAATAAAACTAGTTCAACCTGTTAATACAATTATACGTATAATTTCGTACCTTATTTAATTAATTTTGTAAAAAAAACGTAAAAATTTGTTACAAAACTGTTACACGTTAATAAAAACTAATTTTAAATGTGACTTGTTAGCATTAAACAACAGGTTGATATAGATATTCAAATTGTAAGCCCAAGAGTTAATCATATCCGTAATATCTGAAAAAAAATATTATTTTGTAGACATTGGAAGTAATCCCTATTTGTTTATTAATTTTATTTATTGTAATATTCATAATATTTATTGTAATATTCATATAAGAACGGTTCTGAACGGTTTAATTTGCCAAGTTTGGTATTTTCCAAAGAACTTTGAGTTCCTTTCTGCCAGTTGGTATGTTTGCGCCTGCCGCCTACGGTCACACTGCTGCCATGATTGTGATAAGGGAGCCGTAAAAAACTGGACTTCCCAAAACATGCTCCGAATCTCCAGTCAAAATGAACGAATCTCTTGATAAGACCACCAGCCCGAGCTCGGTGGCCAGTAGTTCCAGGGCCACGCCCTCGCGGGCGGAGGAGGAGGCGGATGCAGATGAGGGGCACCACGATGTGAGCGACACCTTCTACACAAGTCAGCGGAAAAAGGGCAGCCACGTATTTCGAGTGCGCCTGGATGCCACAGGATTCACGCTGCAGCGGGAATCACCCGCCGGCAGCATTGTCAAGGAGCAGCAGGTGCGGATCAGCGATATAGTGGGTGCCCGGTGTATGCGTCCCAAGAAGTCGCGTCGTTTGGCCATGTCCGGTGCCTGTGCCTGCAGTTCCGGCAATTCGCCGGCCATTTCGGCTTCCGGGGATCATCACCCTCATCGTCCGGTCACCACGCCGAGCAAGTGCAGCACCAACAGCCGGGAGAATCTTCCGTTGGACGGCGGCGGTGGCGATGTCAGCGCCTTTCTCTACGTCTTTGCCTATGTGCTGAAAAAGAGAAGCCTTCGCTCGGAATTGCACAGGGAGCGAACGGTGCTCACACTGCGCTTCAGATCCTTCGACACCTTCGAGGATAACATGAGGGAGGCGGATCGGTGGTATAGATCGCTGCGCTGGCAACTGCATCGCACGCTGGAGGAGATCTTTGTGGCGCCCACGGCCGATGAGCGACGAAGGAGAGTCCTAGTGCTGTTAAATCCCAAATCTGGATCTGGCGATGCCCGCGAGGTCTTCAATATGCACGTGACGCCAGTGCTGAATGAGGCCGAGGTCCCATACGATATGTACGTGACCAAACATTCCAATTTTGCCATCGAATTCATGAGCACGAGGTGCCTGGATGCCTGGTGTTGCGTGGTCGCCGTCGGCGGAGATGGCCTCTTCCACGAGATTATCAATGGTCTGCTGCAGCGCCAGGATTGGGCCCACGTCCTGCCCCACCTGGCACTCGGCATCATTCCCTGCGGCTCCGGAAACGGACTGGCCAGGTCCATAGCCCATTGCTACAAGTAGGTTTCATTTGTTCTCAGTTCTAACTAATTATACTTCCTAGTTTATCACTTTCTATATTCCAAGGTTATAACATATCGATTAATAGTAATATCCACTAGAACTTTTCTTCTAGTTAAACATTTGCCAAGAATTTTTGTAACAGTAAACTAAGTAAATCTTCTAGTTTTCAATTTTGTTTAAACGTATAACACCTTCTTGTTTTACACTTTCATTGATCATTGCTTTTTTAAGGTAGTCATCACATTTCTTTTAATAATAATCACTTGAGCTTAACTTCTAGTTAACCAATTGCCAAGCAATTTTGTAACTTCTACTTTATTGAACTAGTTTAACATTTTTGATTTCATCCAAACTAATTATACCTTCTAGTTTTTCACTATCCATATTTCATAGCCCATTGTTTTTTAATTAAGTCATATGATTATGAAATAATATCTGCAACAGCTCATATTCTAGTTACTCATTTACCTTCGTAAATAAAAAAACCCCCTATCAGTTAGCATCGATATAATCTTAAAGTAATAGCCATTCATGTTAATTAGTCCTTTAAAATATATGGCCATTATTTCCGTTCATCAATAGTTAAACAATAATTGCACGATTAGTGGGTATAAAGAGGCTGTTTAGAAGAACTTATTTGGTATTCTGTACAATTTAATTTGGAAAATAATTTAAAATCGATTTAGCAATGTTATTTAGTCATCTTATAAGGTCATAAAAAGGCAATAATTTTCAAATTAAATGTGAGTTAATCATTAGACAGTGAAAGCAGGCATTAAACTAAAAACCCTTATTTATTTTGAAACTTAATTAAACCTCCTTACTTTTCCCACCAGTGAACCGTACTTCAGCAAACCAGTGCTGGGAGCTGCCCTCACCGTAATCAGTGGCCGCAGTTCTCCGATGGATGTGGTTCGTGTGCAGCTACAGAATCGCTCCCTCTACTCCTTTCTGTCGATCGGCTGGGGTCTCATCTCTGACGTGGACATCGAGAGCGAGCGAATCCGGCTGCTGGGCTACCAGCGTTTCACCATTTGGACACTGTACCGCCTGGTGAATCTGCGCACGTACAACGGTCGGATAAGCTACCTGCCGACGGAGCAGCAGATTGGCTCCTCATCGAGTCAGAGCCATTCCGGATATGCTGCTGACCAGCGCCGGAGGATGCAGGGAAGCCGGAGCTGCAACACGCACATGGACATATTGAGTGGACAGCCAGCAGCCAGCTATCATTCCAGTGCCGAGTACCTGCCGCAGGAATTTGCGGATGTTATATCCCTGGAGACGTCCATCAATCAGTCGTTCCGTTCGCGATGCGACAGCTGGCTGTCCGGAGGATCGCGGCGCAGCTTCTACTATTCCATATCGGAGAGCATCTACCATAGTTTGGCGGATGAGAGCGAGTTGGCGGGAGGATTGGCGGCCGCCTCGCTGGAGAACAGGCAGTTGAACTACGGGCCGTCGAGTGAACTACCCGACCTCGGGGAACCCCTGCCCGAGGATCAGGGCTGGCTGGTGGAGGAGGGCGAGTTCGTGATGATGCATGCCGTCTATCAGACGCATCTGGGCATCGACTGCCACTTTGCGCCCAAGGCCCAGTTGAACGATGGCACCATCTACCTCATCCTCATACGCGGCGGCATCAGTCGTCCGCATCTGCTGAGCTTCCTCTACAATATGAGCTCGGGCACTCACCTGCCGGATGTGAACAACGAGTATGTGAAGGTGCTGCCAGTGAAGGCGTTCCGGCTGGAGCCACACGACAATCATGGCATCATCACGGTCGACGGGGAAAGGGTCGAGTTTGGGCCACTCCAAGCGGAGGTCCTGCCGGGCATAGCCCGCGTCATGGTGCCCAAATAGAAGGAGGCTGAGGCTCAAGACGACCAACAAGCAATAGAAATCTCAATTTAGGAATCTCTGCATTTGTAGCTATTACTTAGGGTCTAACATAGATGACCGCGACGAGAGAGTTGTGCATTCTTCCAATTTTATGTCCTTTTGTGGCTTGCTTTTGCCAAACAATCATGTATTAAAATTGTTTTTTAATAACTGAAGTTGCTTTTCAAATATTTAAATGTATATAAATATGCCAAATTAAGTGGTTACAAGTTTTATACTTTTCACGTCCGCTGTTTCAAATAGTAAAAAAAATGTGTGAAACTCAAAAGGATACATATATTTGAATTTTGTTTTTTTTTTAAACTGTGCAGCTAAATGAAAAAGTAAGTTTGCTTCTGCCAACCAGTCATGTATTATCTTTTTTTTGTTTTAATAGTTGCAGTTACTTACAAAATATAAATATGTATATAATTATGCCTGATGAAGAGCATGTAAATTTTGTACTTTTTATGGCTGCAACTCTAAAGGGTTCATTTCTTAATTTATTTTAATTTATGTCTTTTTGAAAACTGTGCAAAAAAATTAAAGAGTTTAATGAAATCTTTAAACATGTTTTAAAATTAATCCTTTCTAAAAATCAAATATAATAACAAAAAACACTGCGAAATATATTTGGATTAAATGGTTGAACATTTTATATTTCACAACTTTGAAGAAAAAAAATATTGAAAATCTTTACGGATCATATGAAACGAGTGAATAAAATCTTTGAGCTTAAAATAATTGTTTTCTTTTATTTGGAATATGAGGAAAGGAATAATTATGGATACAATAGCGATCCATTTTCTTTCAGTTAACGTATTATTTAGATATAGGTTTTTAAGACACCAAGTATTATTTTAACTGACAATTTTCAATTTAAATTTAACGACCATGCGAACTAACGGTAAGAATGTATTTAGTATATTCATATAGTATTTTTGAATATGGTATTGATATATTACTTTCCAATACTAAGCCGGTCACACTGGTCAGAAAAAGAGAAAAACAAATCCGTTCCGTTTGTGAAAAAAACATTTCAGAGGAAAAATAAACAGCTCCGCTTGCATTTCACATAGTGTCAGCACATTCCGTAAGAAATCCGAGGCTCTCCAGCACGGAATCGCAGTGTATTTCCCATCGAGAATCGATTTAAACCCTGCAATATGTCGTCCGAGGAGCTGGCGCCAATTAACGAGCAGGACTTCAAGGATCTGAAGGAGCGCATGAAATTGATTGTGGAGGCGGATCCGAAGCAATATCATAACGACTTTTCGCTGCGGCGCTATCTTCGCGCCTTCAAGACCACAGATGACGCATTCCAAGTAAGCCATTCGCAAATAAAAACCAAGAATTTTAACACATAAAAAGTTACTAGAATTGAAGCTTAAAACACCCTATATATCATTTCTATAGCATTTGTGGGTTAGTAAAAGGCTGACTTTGACCTTCAGCTTGCAAGATCATTAAGGCTCATATTAGAAAGCATACTAACAAGTTTGATATCCTTTGGACATAGAAATCCTTTAGCACTTTAAGAGTCGAAGGTGACTTTGACCTTCGGTTGGTAAAGTAGCTAAAGATCAAATAAACAGCACACTACACTTCCAAGATTATAATTGACTTTTGTTTTCCATTTTTTATTATAAAATTTGAAAAAGTTTGTATGTACGCTAATATCCTATTTATTTGTTTATTTTGAAATTCCTCATTTAGGTGTCTAAAAGTGTGCTAATAAATCGACTAAATCACACTCCGAAAATGTTGCATACTTTTAGGTACCTGTATTATTGATTTCAAAACCATAGTGACTTTTGTAGCCCCGACCAAAGAATAGTTAAGCTAAGCGATCTTGGCTTTTTGGGATCTTTCCTTTTTATAAGACCTATTTAATATTTACCATTAAATATTTATTTCGATCACAGGCCATTCTGAAGACCAACAAGTGGCGCGAAACTTACGGAGTGGACAAGCTGGCCGAGATGGACCGCAGCCAACTGGACAAGAAGGCCCGTCTGCTGCGCCATCGGGACTGCATCGGCCGTCCGGTGATCTACATTCCGGCCAAGAACCACAGCTCGGAGCGGGACATCGACGAGCTTACCCGCTTCATCGTCTACAACCTGGAGGAGGCGTGCAAGAAGTGCTTCGAGGAGGTCACCGACCGCCTGTGCATCGTCTTCGATCTGGCAGAGTTCAGCACCAGCTGCATGGACTACCAACTGGTCCAGAATCTCATCTGGCTGCTGGGAAAGCATTTTCCGGAGCGCTTGGGCGTGTGCCTAATCATTAATTCGCCGGCCCTGTTCTCCACCATCTTTCCGGCCATTCGTGTGCTGTTGGACGATAACACGGCCAAGAAGGTCAAGTTTGTGGGCGATGAGGTCGAGCTGTGCCAGTATCTCATTCCGGACATCCTGCCAACGGATATGTAAGGCTATCCGCTTTCAAATCAGCATCCCTTGGAGCTCCTGTAAGGCGTAGACATATCTCCCAAAGAGAACCCAAAACCGAAACCAGTACCTAAGTCTTAAGTTTGCAAGAGAAGGGGGGCTTCTCTACTCTATGTGCAAATCGATGTGTTTAACATTGTTGATTGTAAAATGTATTTTATTGGACACACACAACTATTAGTACAATGCTAACTATTTTAGATAAAGGTTTATCTTGTATGTGTAGTATCTATATACCTGAATTCGTACCTATATATATATATATATATATATACATACATATATATGCAAGTGTCTATGTGTACAGCAAATAAAGTTGTAAAAGAAATGTCGTTAAAAAAAAAATTAGAGGGTGATGATGCATGGCACACGTGAATAATCGTTTTGTGGGGTGGCTCGATAGTGCTCTAAATTTAGCGAGCTTATCATTCGGCAAGTGATAAGAATCATAATCCTAAACGACTCATGATAGTGCATCGTGCCTCTTATCAAAATATTATGGTTTTCTAGATTTGAATTATGCGCCGATTAGAGCTGTCGCTGCGATAACAATCAGTTATGGGCTTTTTTGTGTTTAGCAACACTGTTATGGCTTTGTTTTTAGCTATAAATATTAATGTTTTATTTCAAGGACTAGTATATATCCTTTCTGCTTTATAGATATACTTTCATATATATGATCATATTTTATGAAATATTTTTGTTGTTGTGCCTAATAAATAACTATTGTAATGAATTCGAATAATCATTTAATGAATGTATATCTAGTGGAATCAGTTGTTGTTATCAATAAAATAAGTAATGCTAAATAAAAATTCAAAAACATATAAAACTGAAGGGTAACGAAAATTCATTATTTTTGAAAAAAGTAAAGTTAATGGAACAAAATTTAATTAGTTGTAAGTAGTTCTAGCTAGCCGATTTCTGGCTACTCAAAAAATAGGTGACAACCCTGACACCAACTGGTTATCATCTGGACAAACAAAAACAAAAGTCAAGCACTTTTGATAAGGAAATCTGAGAAAAAAAATGAGAGCTCGCCGGAACAATAACAATAACAATCACAATAACAGCAGCGAAATGGAGAAGACTGGAGTAACTGCGTCCAAAAGTCAGTGATCGTCGAAGCGTGCGCTGCGAAACATGTCGGCGCCTCCAACAAAAGTAGCTGAAAAATCGGAAGGGGGTGCTCCTCAGGACTTGGATTCTCCCAGAGATTCAGGATCAGGAGCACCCGCTTTCATTGCCGCCCTGGATGTGGGCACCACCTGTGTGCGGTGCTTCGTTTTGGACGAACGATGTGTGGTCAGGGGATCGGCCGTGGATGCCGTAAGTGATTCGATCTTCAAGTGACCCATGGGGGCAAAGTTATTAAACTTTTGACTTTTGGCGCAATTAGGTGGAGCTACTGAACCCACAGCCGGGCTATTTCGAAATCGAACCGGAGAGCTTGTGGCGTAAAATTGTAAATGTTATTAGGCTGGCGGTAAAAAGTGAGTATCGGATACCATAAAAGCAACAACAGGTTTAATAACAGGCTTGGATTTAGTAAGAATCGATTTATTTAATAGCCATCGTAGAAAAACTATGATGAACGTCGGTCGGATTTTAAGATCTAAGTTCACAAATGAGTTAATATTTTAAATTTAAGAACTAAAGTTAGAAATAAAGTCAGATTATTTTTTATTTCAAAACAATTTTTGATTTGGAAATTCTATATGGAAAAACGCATTTTTAAATAGAATTGGTAACACAATTGTAAAATTAATATTTAATTATTATTATGATCAAGGTAAAAATGTTTCGAAACAAAAATGTTTACGACTTTTTTAATGACTATTACCTTTAGTTTCCTATTACAAAGTTCTTAAATCTGTTTAAAAGCTGATGTAAACCAACACGTTTATTTTATTCAGAATTAAATTATATTTAATTCATTTTTGTTTTTCGATTTTGGTTAATGTAAACCATGATATTATGAATATTTACTTTTTACCCTTACTATTAATTACAAAAATAATCCTACCTTCCTATACCTTTTGCAGATGCCCATCTGACACCTTTGGACATTACCTGCCTCACGATCTCCACGCAACGCTGTACCTTTCTCACCTGGGATCATCGCAGTGGCGAGTACTACCACAATTTTATCACCTGGAAGGACCTGCGCGCCGATGAACTGGTGCAGCATTGGAATACCAGCTGGACAAAGAGCTCCATGAATTGGTTTTCCTATGCCTTGTTCCTGTTGACCCGTCAATCACGATTCCTGGCCGGAAGTGTCCTTAAACTGATGAATGGCCAAGTTACGCCGAGACTGCTATTCGAAATAATGCACAACAAGAAGCTGAAGCAGGCTTTGACACAGAAAAAAGCTCGTGTGGAACTGCTGGACTCGTGGATCCTGCACAAGCTGAGAACAGGCCACAGTCGTGATAAGGATGTGGAACACATAACCGATGTAACCTCAAGCACGGCAACGGGATTGTATGATCCCTTCACGCTCAGTTGGTCGCCGCTGATCAGTTGGCTCTTTGGCATCAATGTGAGTCTAATATATTCCCTTAAATCTTATGATTTGTATACCCCAACATAGAGTATTATAATTTCGATCAAATATTAGCATAAACACTGAGGGATACATTTTCAAACCTATAAAGTATTTACATATTTATGATCAGTTTCACTATAAGTGTCTATCTAGCCATGTCCGTTTGTAGGTCTGTCCGTTTGTCCGTTTCCACTTCAACTAGTGTTTCAATTTTATAACTTCTGGATTAAATTGTCCCAAAAGTCTTATATCTACTGCAGGTTGTATTTACTTTATTATATAGCTCGGAATAAAATATAATTTTTGTCTCATATACTTGCATTAATTCCAGTCTAAAATCCTGCCCCGTGTGGTGGACAATGGCTACAAAGGTTTCGGACATGTGCATCCTACAGCTTTGGGTTCGGATTGGGCGAACACAAAGGTTCCCATTGCAGCTTCACTGAGTGACCAAACGGCTGCCATGTGGGGCTCCCAATGCTTTAGGAACAACGATGTCAAGGTCACCATGGGCACTGGAGCGTTTTTGAATTTGGTCACGGGTGAACGATGTCATGCAGCCGTCTCTGGAATGTATCCACTGGTTGCGTGGCAAGTCAAAAGCAAAGCCATCTACTGCATTGAGGGAGCATCCCACGACTTTGGCACCGTGGTCACCTGGGCGCAATCCTGCGAGCTCTTCGAGAATCCTGCGGATACCTCGGATATTGCAGAGTCTGTTTTCGACACTAATGGCGTGTTCTTTATGCCTGCCTTTAGTGGCCTGGGGGTGAGTTATATTTGCAATCTCCACTGTAACCAATTTGAGATTAACTAATCCCCTCACTTTATCTTTGACAGCCCCCGGTGAACGATTATCGGTCAGCAAGTGGCTTCATTGGCCTTAGTCCGTCCACCACAAAAGCTCACATGGTGAGGGCTCTTCTCGAGAGTATAGTCTTTCGCCTGGTGCAACTAATCGATGCTGCTGAAAGGGAAACCTCCCAGAAGCTTCAAAGGATTAGGTAAATCTTAGAAATAATTTGTTGTTTACTTACGCATCATGGTGCGAATATTTCATATACTTTGTATAGTCAATTTAACTTTAATTTAACTTAAGACTGGGCAGCTAAATCTTTTTATTATTTATTATTATTTTAATAGACAATTAAGCAAAGTAGGAACATAACTGTATGTCACTTAACAGTCGGGTAGTCATTTAAATTCAGCAAACATTTAATTCCTTCCCATAACCTATTATTGTTTTAATAGACAATTAAGCAAAGTAGGAACATTAAAAAAGAAGTGCCAAAAATAATTAATCAGTTGCTTATTTAAACTATGGGGTAGTAATAAACCCGCTGCTAGTTTAAATATTGTAAGCATTTGGTGAATTCTACCATAATTATCAGTTATTTCCTTTCCAAAAAAACCTATTAGTAGGAACACAAATAAAAGGTTAACCAAAAGGCAAAGATTTAACTCGCTGCTAATTTAAATATAAAAACATTAGGCTATTTAATTATCAGATAGTAACCAACCCGATGCTAATTAAAATATTTGGTAGACAACTTATTAAACTTTAAATTTACTTATATTTCAGAGTTGATGGAGGCGTCTCCCGCAACGACTTCGTTTGCCAGTTCCTTGCCGATCTCAGCCAGCTGAGTGTGGAGCGGGCCGAGAATGCGGAGAGCAGCATAATGGGCGCCACATTCATGGCGGGCATTAACCATGGCATCTGGAACAATGTGGAGGATCTCAAGTGTTTCCGGAAGGTGGAGCGGATCTTTGAGCCGCGGCCGAAAGAGTACAAAACGATAGCAACCCGGATGGACAAGTGGGTCCAAGCAATAGCCCGTTTCAGCGAGTGGTACTAGGTTGTACACTTTAATTGTTTTGTATGTTTTACGCGCTAGGGTCATTAAATACTTAGAAGGCTAGTGGTAGAAAAAATGCTGCATTTGTCAGTCTCTCAGTTGAATCGCTGCTGGAAGTTCTGCTGCTGCTGGTTGAACATCATCTGCTGCTGCTGTTGCTGCTGTTGTTGCTGCTGCTGCTGCTGTTGGGCCTGCTGCTGCTGATGATGGAAGTCCTGCTGGTTTCCAGCTCCCGATAATCTTACTCTCTTGGCATTCGGCTCGGCATTCATCTGTTGTTGCTGCTGCTGCTGCTGTTGTTGCTGCTGCTGCTGCTGTTGCTGCTGCTGCTGCTGCTGCCGCTTGTTGTCCGACTTGTCCTCCTGATCGTCATCCGTGAGGAACTCCCGCTTGGGATATGGTATGGGACAGCCGGCGAACACATCCTGCGTAGGCAGCGGCTCCTCCTGGAAGTACTGATCCTGCATGGCCTGTTCGGAGGTGATACGCTTGTTGGGATCCATCAGCAGTAGTTTCTGCAGCAGATGGAAGGCCTTGCTGTCCGGCTTGATCTTGTGCCGCTCCATGTACTTGGCCAGCGAGCAGGTGGAGTAAGTGGAACGCTTGAAATCCTTCGTCAGCGTATGATGTTCCGGCATCTTCTTGATGTCCTCCCAGTCCTTGTCCTGCGGAAAGCCCATCACATTGAAGATGCGGTCCAGCTGATCGTGGTGATACGGATTACTGGTCTTAATGTCCTCCTGGCGGCAGTGAAAGATGGGCTCGGAGGTGAGTAATTCAGCGAAGATGCACCCAATGGCCCAGATGTCAATGGCCTTGGTGTAATGCCGTGCGCCGAGCAGCAGTTCCGGAGCACGATACCAAAAGGTGACCACCACGGGGTCAAGATCTGCCAGTGGTTTCAGCGGGGCATTAAATAGGCGCGCGAAACCCATGTCGGCTATCTTAACGCGACCCCGCTCGTTGCCATCGCCCATGACCAGGATGTTGGCCGGTTTCAGATCGCGATGCAGCACCCAATTACTGTGCAGATAGTGAATCCCGTCCAGAATCTGGTAGAGCAGACTCTTGACCATGCCACGGGGAACCACCACCTGTTTCTTGGTGGCCTTGGCCGCCCGATGGAACTTGATGATGTGCCAGAGATCGTGCTCAGCATAGTCGATCAGCAGGAACACCTTGCGGTCGTTGTGCGACAGGAACACCCGGATGAGGGTAATCACATTCTGGTGCTTCAGTTCGCGCAGCAAAGCGATCTCGCGGCAGGCGGACATGGACAGTCCAGTGCCATCGATCTGTTTCAAGGCGTATTCCTTGCCATCGCTTAAAGTTGGAGACATAAAGAATTATATATATTGGAGCAATTTGGAGCACCCAGAAATGATCACGGCCCACCTTGTCTCCTTCCATTTCGCCTTGTAGACGTGGCCGTAGGTGCCACGCCCCACCTTGCAGCCCTCGTAGTTGAACAGGTCCTCCACTTTTGTACGCTCAATTTGCGTTTTCATCTTGAAATCGTAGTCCATTTTGCATAGAACAAATAAAATCTGCAAATTGTTTGTAAATTCGGATGCCGCCAGTCAGCTGTTCGCCGATAGCCGATAACTAAGCGTTGGCCAGGGATGGAAGCTCAGCCAAATGTATAGATCTAGCTATGTTCTAGCTAGAAATTAAAAACATGGTGATATTAAGTAATATTAACTTATTGTTTAGCTTGAAAGTTAGGAAAGCATTTATTTAAAAAATACAACCATATACTAGACTATTGTCAAAAAGCTGTTAAAATCTCTCATAATGAAAACTAATTTTATTAATAGTAGTTTATAAGAAACATTTTTACTTTGGCTTGCTCTAGCTATTTTTCTACCGCATTTGGCTAGTTTTCAAAAACGATACCGATTACAGAGATAACCTAGTGTGTCAGCACTGATTTTGGGAACTTAGCACGCTGTCCGTTTGTTTTGATTATTTTGAGCAGAAAAACCCATTGAAATGGCCAAAACCAAGCGAAATGTGAGAGCGAAGGCGAAGAGCGTGGTGGGGGCGGCAAAGCAGAAGGCGCAGGATATGCAGGCGAAGTTGCGCCAGGACAAACTGCTTCACAAAACACTCGCGCCAAAAAAGACGACCTCCAAAAAGGAGAAATCCGAGGCTAAGCACAAGAAACTACTCAAGCGATTCGCCGAAACGCGAAAGGAACGCAAGGAGGAGCAGGCGCGCAAGAATCGCGAGAAGACCAAGGTCATTGGGGACCTAAAGCCACTTCGGGATGCACTACCTTCCCTGCAGGACATCTACAACCTGGTGAAAACCAAGCAAAAGGATGCCAGCGAACAGGCGGCTCTCACCGAACCAGAAGTTCACCTAACTGCCAACGAAAAGATCCGAAAAAAACGCACGGAAATGGTCAACCGCGTGAAGTCCTTCGAGAAGCTCATCAAGGACAAGAACTTCAAGAAGAATCCCCGCGAAGTCATCGCCTCCCATGTGCGCAACAAGTACCAAGCGATGGAGGAGGACGATGATCAATAGAATCCTGTTGCTCCCTTGAAGTCGGTTTGAGGTATACTTATATTTTAAGAAATATCTTTACTTCATATAATAGAAAAAATGGCCATTAAAAGAAATTTCTTCAATTCACCTGTTGAGTGCCTCAAACCACAAAAACAAAAACTAGTTCTTATTTATTTATACAAAATCCTTCAAATATAATTATTAAATCCAGAAAATCATGTTTGAGAGTGAATAAAGAAGACTGTTGCTTTCTGAAAGTACTCTTTTTAATAACTATTAACTATATTTTTTAAACGTCACAAAAATATGACAACAAATCCATATACTCACCTGTTGACCCAAAAAAAATGTAAACCTTACACTTTTTCAGTTTATAAAACAATTTGGCATTCTTTAAATAAATGGTCTACAGAAAACATAAAAAATAATGATTCAAAAGTAGTATCATAATTTATTCAAATTTCCTAAATTTTGGTTTATTTTACACTTTAACCTATCCCAACTAAAACCACGTTGATGTTTATTAAGAAGTATCTTTATTATATATGCATTAGGTATAGTTATTATTTAACGATGCATATAAATATTACACATACGAATGTAAGTTGTAAGCATTAAATCGTAAGAGGGTCAACAGAACGAGGATTAGACAAGATTTGAACGTGAGGACTCTATTTTCTGTTTTCTTTTTTTCGGTGTTTTTGCTTAGTCCCGGGCTATGTGATCGTAGTAATCTAGAGCTACATTATATCCATAGAGCGTTATATATGCGCCTGCTAAGGTTTCGAATTTCAACTTGGTGTTGTTCTTCTTACGGTGAAAACGGAGCCATGGACTCGAGGTCCTTGCGTCCGGACAGTTAATCTACAGCTAGTTTATGGTTATTATCGGTATTATCGGGTTAGCGTGAATTGCTGGCTCCTTCCTGTGAGATCATTTAAACATTATATAGTCCACACACATCGGCCGTCTTGTCCATCAATCGATTCCATTTCGCCACCAGCACTAACAGCAAATTTAACATAGCTATTGAAAAGTGTCTCCATAAAATGGCATTATCTCATGTACAAAATGTAGGCGAGACTACATACTAAACTTAGGTTACAACCTTCCGCGTTACGTCTGCGTTTTATCGTGTTTATCTTGATTGCAATATACGACGTTTCTGTGGATTGCGGGCTGTGGGTTCGCGGGGAGCGGGTCTCTGTTAGGCTAGGCTCGTGGTCTCCATTTCGAAGTTATACATATACATTTATATATAGAAAATATAAGTCAACTATGTCTAGGTTTTGCACATTCAAGAGTTTGAAACAACAAACTTAAGCTAATTTGAAAATCGTTATCGGCTGCACAGTGAACGTGTTTACTTGTTCAGCAGAAACATGAGCAGGCTGCAAGGGGAAAATGTTTATTAAATACGAATTTGAGAAGTCATTCCAAGGGTTCTCACCGGAAGTTAATGCCTTTGTTGGCCAGCATTCGGTTGCATTCACTTGAGCCGGTACCGCCGATGCCATCTGGTAGTGGCAAAACATAATACTCACTTTCGGTACTCTGAAATGGAAGGCAAAAGATCACAGATTTTTGTGACATCCCATTGTCAACTATATAGACTTACCGTCTCAGTGAACTCGTGCTTGTATATCTGCGTGGACACCTTCATATCCGAAAAGGGGCCCTTTAGCGCGAAAAAATGTATGCTCATCGGTGTGCTGGTCTTTGTTTTCAGGATCAGCTGATAGGTGATGGTCCGCTCGTTTGACTGGTGAGGATCGCGCTGGCTATTGTTGATGCGAGCCTTCACCACCCACTGCTGGTTGAAGGCCGAGAAGCGGGCCGTCTCGTAGAACAGCTTGTGCACGTACTCGTCCGTCCGATAGGGTTTCATCTGAAGATCTGCAAGGGTTCATAGGAATAAAGATGATTTGGAATTAAATTGAAATAAATAGTTATTTAGATATGTTACTTATACTTATTTCTTAATTTTAGCAGAACCTACTTTTACACATACATATTTGTTATTTAAGACTTGTTTTTAAAAGATTACTGGCATTTGTTAGTTGCTAACAACAAATGTAACTTATAATAATATTCCTAATTAATCATTTTTTTTACACAGAGACAGACCAATTATCGTTATTTAATTACTTTATTTTTATACTAGACTGTTTTCAATTCTTTATACTGTTTGGGACAAGAGTGAAGTTTGATTTTTGATGTTTAAAACTCTCTTTCCCAAATAATGATTATTTTCGATCTCTGGTTTTTAATATTAAGATCTCTACAGAATACCCTTATGATATTGTATGACACTCCATCTATTAACACTCAACCATAAACATTTTTTACTGCCCGCATTTCAGCATGACTTCTATGCCAATAACCATGAACAATTAATCTTAATTTCAATGAGCATTAAAATTCAATAGCCCGGAATGTCTCACCATTGAATATGATCTTCTCGTAGCTGAGCAAGTCAATCAGCGTGTTGAACATCTTTTTCTCCTCCTTGATCCTGTCATCGTGGGCCTCCAGGGCCGACATTACCTCGTAGCCAGACTTCTGCGGATGCAAACAGTTGCGCTCGTGTTCGTTAGCTATAAATTGAATTGAATTTTTATCATTATATGGGTTATTCTTTATATCTTATTTGACGAGGGGCACTACTCACTCTCATGAAAGGGTCCACGCCACTGGCAGCCAATGCGATGATATTTGCATTTGGTGGGGCGCTCCTGGCACTCGTGTTGTTCATGGCGTTCAAGTGATTTGTAAGGGAACTCCTTGTTGCAAAACTATGGAACAAAATAAGTTAATTAATATTGAATCGAAATAGGAATTATTATAAGGCTCACCTGACATTCGCTGGGCAATTCGGAAGCGGCCTTCTCCACAGCCAAATTTCGGGAAGCAGTGCTCTTTGATATTTCCACACGGCAATTGGGGCAAGTGGCAATTTGATCGCGCAGGCTATTGAAAATATATTTTTAAGAAACATTTTGAAAAGGGTAAAAAGCTTATCTTAGTTAGTGTTAGTTAAAAGATGCCTTTGCAAGATTATTAGTTTGTTGTTTAGAGTGAATTCATACCGTCCATCCGCCAGAAGATGGGTGAAACAGGCGGCGCACATCAAGTGACCCATCTGGCACTGAAATCGAAAAGAGCAGAGAGAAAGGGAAATGCAATTTTAGTAAATTCACGACTAAACAATCGACTGGTAGATGGATAGAGATTGAAAACTAAAACAAAAGTGGAATGAAAATTAACCTGCAATTAAAGAAAAAAGAAGAAAAGTTTTCTATTAGTCAAAATACGGCCTTGTTGCAGATAGCTTGTTTGTATTTATGGGTGTGAGTGGGTGTGTTCTGAATGAATGAATCTATTTTGGAGATTTCTTTGGGGAGAGGAGGGTGGTGGTGAGGCATGGATTTCTCGGCAGGAGGTGATCTGAAGCGAGGTCTGAAAATGTTTAGCTTAGAGGCTCCGGTTGTGTATTATTTTTTTTTTTTTTTGGTTGAAATAAAAACGCTATGTTGTAGTTTGGTTTTATTTTGCACTCTCAAGTTTGCACTCTCCTTTGCAAATTTATTCAATTCAGTTCTTTGTTTCATTTTTTTGGGTTCTTTTTTTTTGTTTTGGATACATTTTGGGGTTAAACTTTAATGCTATTATGAATTCTGTTCTATGTACTTAGCATTTATAGTTACAATCTTATGTTTCTTTTTTTTTTTTTTTGTTGCGTGTGCTTACAAAGGTTACGAAATCGGATTATTATCTTAACTAAGATTAATCATTAGGAGAGATAAAGTTATCTAAATAAGGTTGCAGAAAAATCAAAATCATAAATAGTTGATAGTTCTGGGTTAAATTTAGCGTACTTTATCATACAAATGTTCTTTTTTTTTTGTTTTTTTTTTTTGAAAGCCAATTAAAACGTTGTGGTTGTGTGTTTTTCAATTGGTTTTCGGATATGAGTTGGTCAAGCAATTGATGAATGGTCGGGTATATAGTGGACCGATAACGGCCAGATAAAGTGGAAAACCCCGATGTGAAATTTAACCCCCGCTGCTGTAAGAAAACCT